GAATGCTCAGCCCAGACCAGCGTCCGGCCCAGCTGACGGGAGGCAGGGGTGGAGGGTGGGGGGTAAGGATGGGGGGGATGTGCTGGCAGAGTCTCCATTTCTCTCTTTTTTTTTTTTTTAAATCAATCTTTATTGTTCATATTATTACAAAGGTTCCTCATTTCTCCCCCCCTCCACCAGGTTCCCACCCCACCCTCCGCCCCCTCCCCACCCCCCATTGTCCTCATCCATAGGTGCACGGTTTATGTTCAGTCTCTTCCCGCATCTACCACTCCCTTTTCCCCATTTCTTTGAGGACCCAGGAAATCACCCCCAAAGAAGCCAGTGGAGCCCTGGCCGGTGTTGCTCAGTGGCTAGAGCGTCGGCCTGCGGACGGAAGGGTCCTGGGTTCGATTCCGGTCAAGGGCATGGACTTTGGTTGCAGGCACATCCCCGGTGGAGGGTGTGCAAGAGGCAGCTGATGGATGCTTCTCTCTCATCGATGTTTCTAACTCTCTCTCCCTCTCCCTTCCTCTCTGTAAAAAATCAATAAAATATATTTTCTAAGAAAAAAAAAATCCTCAAAATTGCTCGGCCCCGTTGGGGGCTTCGTCCCGGACACCAGAGGGTGGCGGGAGGGTTTGGTTCCCGGTCAGGGCTCATCCCCAGGGTGCAGGTTCGATCCCCAGTCCAGGCAGGAGTGGGAGGCGGCTGATGGGTGTTTCTCTCCCTCCCCCCCTTTCTTTCTCTCTCTCTCTCTCTCTCTCTCAACTCATTAAACTCATTTTTTTTAAAGTGCTGCAAAAAAAAACACCTGTCAACCCAAACCCTTAAAACACACACACACACACACACACACAAAAGTCTTAAAATGGATACTACGGGGTTGTTCATTATCACATTAAAATTAGGTTTGCAAGTTCAGAACTTTCTACTTTAAAAATGTTACCTGCGTAACCTAGTCTGACTGGTACATCTGTGCACATTTAAAAAAGGGATTGGAGGTTAGAGGCAATCGGACAGGCCTGGAGAGTGGTTAGAGGCAATGAGACAGGCAGGTGAGCAGTTAGGGGCGATCAGGCAGGCAGGCAGAGTGGTTAGGGGTGATCAGGCAGGCAGAGGGGTTAGGGGCGATCAGGCAGGCAGGCAGAGTGGTTAGGGGCGATCAGACAGGCAGGCAGAGTGGTTAGGGGCGATCAGGCAGGCAGGCAGAGTGGTTATGGACTATCAGGCCGGCAGGTGTAGGGGTTAGGGGCAATCAGGCAGGCAGGCAGGTGAGCAGTTAGGAGGCAGCGGTCCCAGGTCACAAGAGAGATGTCTGAGTGAGGCACGTCCTTGCAGGATGGGGCCTGGACCAGCAGTCGGACATCCGCCAAGGGGTCCCAGATTGTGAGAGGGCGCAGGCCGTGTACGAATTTCATGCACCGGGCCTCTAGCATGTGCATAATTTAAAGAGGAGAGAGAGCCGTAAACCGGTGTGGCTCAGTGGATAGCGTGTCGAACTGTGGACCGAAGGGTCCCGGGTTCGATTCCGGTCAAGGGCATGCACCTTGGTTGCGGGCACATCCCCAGTAGGGGGGTGTGCAGGAGGCAGCTGATGGATGTTTCTCTCTCACCGATGTTTCTAGCTCTCTATCCCTCTCCCTTCCTCTCTGTAGAAAATCAATAAAAAATATCTATATATTTTTTTAAAATTAGGAGAGATCCGACGACGCCAGCGCTTGGCCAGAGGATGCATGCGGGGGCCTCGCGCCCGGGGCTGCCCCCTCCTCTGCTCCAGGAAGGAACAGGTTTGGCTCGGTGGATAGAGTGTCGACCTGTGGACTGAGGGGTCCCAGGTTCGATTCCGGCCAAGGGCACAGGCCCAGGTTGCGGGCTTGACCCGCAGCCGATCCATGATTCTCTCTCCTCACTGATGTTTCTCTCTCATCGATGTGTCTAACTCTCTATCCCTCTCCCTTCCTCTCTGTAAAACAATCAACAAAATATATTTTTAAAAAAGAAGTACAAATATTTTTTTGTTGGATAAAGAGAGGAAAGGAGAGGGAGAGGCAGAGAGAGAAACATCCACGACGAGAGAGAATCACGGACCGGCTGCCTCCTGCACGCCCCCCCCCCCCCCCCCGAGGATGGAGCCCGCCACCCAGGCCTGTGCCCTGACCGGGAATCGAACCCGGGCCTCCTGGTTCACAGGTCGAGGCTCAACCGCTGAGCCACACTGGCCGGACTCAGAATTATGTTGAGGTAGAAATGGTCTTTGAAAGGCAGGTCCCCCGGGGTGACTGAGGTCAGTGTGGGCCAGTTCCCCCCTCCCCCTGTCCGTCCGCAGCCGCCCAGCTGTCCGTCCAGGCGGGTCCCCCTGCCTCTTCCAGAGAGGAAGCTCGGCTGCCAGGCCAGGAGGGACCAGGGCGACCGGGAGGCTCCCGGCAGTTGGCACGGGGCATGCCCTGGGTCAGGGCACTGAGTTCGATGAAAAATGTCACCTATGAAACATGAGTGTTTATTGCATGTCCTATTGTTTGTTTAAAAAATATATATATATATATTATTGATTTTTACAGAGAGGAAGGGAGAGTTAGAAACATCAATGAGAGCCCTAAGCAGTGTGGCTCAGTGGATAGAACGTCGGCCTGCGGACCGAAGGGTCCCGGGTTCGATTCCGGCCAAGGGCATGTGCCTTGGTTGTGGGCACATCCCCGGTGGGGGGTGTGCAGGAGGCAGCTGATGGATGTTTCTCTCTCATGGATGTTTCTAACTCGCTATCCCTCTCCCTTCCTCTCTGTAAAAAAAAGTCAATAAAGTATTTTTTAAAAATATACGAATCACACGGTTTATTTACCAGGGTCCTGGTGGCTTCCAGGAGCCTAGGCAGGTCACCTGGAGATCCGCGCTGACACACACGCACACACACACACACACACACACAGGACTGGAGATCCGCGCTGACACACACGCACACACACACACACACACACACACAGGACTGGAGATCCGCGCTGACACACACACACACACACACACACACACACACACACAGGACAGGAACACGTGGCTGCAGCGTCTGGTCACGATCGAGGCCTCCGAGGTTCGGCTCACGGGCAGTGACAGTTCACTCCCTCGGGCAGGGTTTTACTCAGTATTTCCAACAGGGAGAAGGGAGCGGAGAGAACAGGCTGGGTGGAGGGCCCCTTCAGGGTCCCTGACCTGGTGCCTCAGTTTCCTTCCTTTATTTTTATTTTTTTTAAATATATTTTATCGATATTTTACAGAGAGCAGGAAGGGAGAGGGATAGAGAGCTAGAAACGTCGACGAGAGAGAAACACCGACCAGCTGCCTCTTGCACACCCCATACCGGGGATGTGCCCGCAACCAAGGCACATGTCCTTGACCGGAATCGAACCCGGGACCCTTCAGTCCGCAGACCGACGCTCTATCCACTGAGCCACACCGGTTTCGGCAGTTTCCTCCTTCTAATCAGTGTTCCCCAGAGTGTGGTACGCGTACCCCCAGGGGCGTGGGAAGAGTCTGGTGGGGGTACGCATGGCACCGGAGTTTGGGGGGGGATACGCACTGCCCCGAGCTTAGCTGCGCCTTATTCTACGCCCTCATGAGTATGAGGGGTACTCAGCGTTACGAAAATTATAGAAGGGGTACACATGTGTCAAAAGTTTGGGAAACACTGCCTTAAGGCCATTTTCTGCTGCGTCATGATGGGTCTTCAGTGTGTCTTAATGGGAGGCAGGGGTGTGTGTGTGTGTGTGTGTGTGTGTGTGTGTGTGTGTCTCCAGGTACTTTTTGCCTCGCTTTCCAACTTCCAGATAAACACTTGTTAGGGGTTAAGAATCACTTTTTTTTTTTAATATATATATTTTATTGATTTTTTTTTACAGAGAGGAAGAGAGAGGGAGAGTCAGAAACATCGATGAGAGAGAAACATCCATCAGCTGCCTCCTGCCCGCCCCTCACTGGGGATGTGCCCGTAACCAAGGTCCATGCCCTTGACCAGAATCGAACCCGGGACCCTTCTGTCCGCAGGCCGACGCTCTATCCACTGAGCCACACCGGTTTCGGCTCAGAGTCACTTTTAAAACTTAAGTGTTCACAAAAATGGATTCAAAGTCACACTACATGGAGTCGCTTATACTAAGCCTTTCAATACCTTTCAAATAATTTCTTTTACTTAAAACATCGGAATAAGATCAGAAATACGATTCACACTTAAACCTATGAGTCACTCATACAAACAGATGCCTTTTCACTCCTATTTTAAAAATCACACAAGTCATTATTCTCACACACTGTTTTAAATCCTTAAGATAGAAATCAAACATCTATAACTATAACAGAAGGGAACCCCAGGGGGGCGGGCGGCGGGGGGCCACGTCCTCCCGGGAGGCCACCTGCCGCTCCCTTTCCCACGGGCGCCCCAGAATCCATCCGCCCGGGAGGGGACCTCCCCACGCCGCCGGTTCCCAGGCAGGAAGCGCGCGCGCCCCGAGCGCGTCCCGCGGGGGCCGCCGCCGCGCGGCCCCCGGAAGTGGCGGAGCGCGCGCGCAGGGGGGGAACCCGGGTCCCTTGGCCCGCCATGGCCGCCGGCTTTGTGCGCCGCGCGCGGGCCCGGGCCGTCTGTGCCTCCCCCGGGGAGCGGCGGCGGCGACACCTGGTCCTCCGCCGACCCTCTGCGCTCCGCCCCTCCCCGTGCGCGCCCGCCGGCCCCGCCTCCCTCCCTCCCTCCCTCCCCGCGCGACCGGTTCCCTGGCAGGAAGCGCGCGCGCCCCGAGCGCGTCCCGCGGTGGCGCCGCCGCGCGGCCCCCGGAAGTGGCGGAGCGCGCGCGCGCGCGCGCGCGGGGGATAAGGAACCGGGGCGCCTCGGCCGGCCATGGCCACCGGCTTTGTGCGCCGCGCGCGGGCCCGGGCCGTCCGGGGGAGGCGGGGACACCGGGGCCTCCGCTGACCCTCCGCGCCCCGCCCTCCGCGCCCGCCGGCCCCGCCTCCCTCCCTCCCTCCCTCCCTCCCTCCCTCCGCGCCTCGCTCCGGCCCGGCGGGGGCCCGCCGCCGCCCCGCCGCCCCGATGCCCGAGCCCGGCCCCAGGATGAACGGCTTCTCGCTGGGCGAGCTGTGCTGGCTCTTCTGCTGCCCGCCCTGCCCGAGCCGCATCGCCGCCAAGCTGGCCTTCCTGCCGCCCGAGCCCACCTACGCGGTGCTGGCGCCGGAGCAGCGCGCGGGCGCGGCGGCCCCGGCCTCCCCGGACCCCGCCGCCCCGGGCTCCCCGGCCGCCCCGGCCCCGGCGGCGGCGGCGGCGGCGGCGGCGGCGGAGGGGGAGGAGGGCGGCCCCGCGGGCGCCTGCTCCCTGCACCTGAGCGAGCGCGCCGACTGGCAGTTCTCGCAGCGCGAGCTGGACGCCGTGGAGGTGTTCTTCTGGCGCACGGCGCGCCGCAACCGCCTGGGCTGCATGTTCGTGCGCTGCGCGCCCGCCGGCCGCTACACGCTGCTCTTCTCGCACGGCAACGCCGTGGACCTGGGCCAGATGTGCGGCTTCTACCTCGGCCTGGGCTCCCGCATCAACTGCAACGTCTTCTCCTACGACTACTCGGGCTACGGCGCCAGCTCGGGCCGGCCCTCCGAGCGCAACCTCTACGCCGACATCGACGCCGCCTGGCAGGCGCTGCGCACCCGGTGAGGCCCCCGCGCGCGCCCCCGGGGGGACAGGGGGGACGGTCCTGCCCGGCCTGGCCCGGCCCGGCCTGGGCTGGTGCTGGGCTGAGTGCAGGGAAGGGAGACGGGTCGGGTAAGGGGGTGCCAACTGGGCTGTGCGTTCGCCCCCTGGTGCGTCCTGGCCTTGTCCCCCTCCCCCCCGCTCCCCACGCTCCCCTCTCCAAAGGTTCCCGGGAAGCCCGGACTCCGGAGGGGTTTGCCCCCTCCCCCGCGCGCCCCCCGAGGGGTGGGGGGCGGTCCGGCCCGGCCTGACCTGGGTGCGGGGAAGGGAGATGGGTCCGGGTACAGGGGTGCCTCCTGGGCTGTGCGTTCGCCCCCTGGTGCGTCCTGGCCTTGCATGTCCCCCCAACCCCGCGCGCGCACCCCCCGGGGGGCGGTACAGGGGGGACGGTCCGGCCTGGGCTCTGCTGCGTAGGGGGAAGGGAGACGGGTCCGGGTACGGGGGGGCGTCCTGGCCTTGTGTCCCACCCCCCCCGCGCCCCCTCTCTCCAAAACCCCTCCTTCTCCCCCCCCAGGTTCCTGGTTTGGCCCCTCTCCCTCCGGTGCGCGCCCCCCGGGGGGCAGGGGGGACCGGTCAGGTCTGGCCCACCCGGCACGGGGGTGCCTCTTGGGCAGGTGCGTCCTGGCCTTGTCCCCCCCCTGCGCCCCCGTGCGCCCCCTCTCCAAACCAAACCCTTCCCTGCCCCCCAGGTGCCTGGACAGCCCGGACTCCGGGCGGGCGCACCTGGGTGCCCCCCAGCCTTTCCCCCTGCCTGGCTGGCTGGGTCCTCTGTGGCTCTGGTCGCCCCCCACCCCCACCCCACCAAGGCCAAGGGGCGCGTGGGGGCTCCCCGGCTGGGTTGGCGTGGAGTGTGTGAGTGTGTGTGTGTGTGTGTGTGTGTGTGGTGCCAGCCCGGAGGCGGCAGGTCCCCGGGGCTCCCGTGACCTTGGGCCGGGCACAGGGCGCCTGGAGACCTCTGTCCGTCTTTCTGGTTCCTGGAGGGAGGGCGGCCGACCCTCCCCAGAGCCATGGAGCTGGGGGTGCGGGGTCCTGAGGGGCAGCAGCAGCGGGGTGGCTCTGGGCAGAACTGGAGGGGGCCCCGGGGTGTGAAGTTGGCACCGTGATGGGCAGAGTGCGAGGGGTGCCCCCCCCGCCCTGCCGCCTGGCAGCCTTCCCCCAGCCTGGGCCAGCAACCCGGGTGCGCATCCCTGTGGCCTTAACCCCACTCCCTACACAGCTTTGAGCCCCCGGCCGGTGTGGCCCAGTGGGTGGAGCGCCGGCCTGCGGACTGAAGGGGGTCCCGGGTTTGATTCCTGGTCAAGGGCGCACGCCCAGGGCTTGGGGGTTCTCCTTAGCTTGGATTGGCATCCGCAGGAGGGGGGAGGGCGGCCCTGGATGGGGCCACGTTCAGGTGGAGGGCCATCCAGCCGGGGCAAACAGAACACTTGAGTTCCATTCCCCCACTTCACCTGGCGCCCATTTTTTTTTTTCCCTTCTTTTTTTTTTTTTCTCTTTCTGTCTGTGGCTGCCCCTCCCCCGCCCGAGGTCAGTGTTGGGGGGACACACGGGGAAAGGGGTGTCTGCGGGAGGCAGCCTCGGGGACAGGGCTGCAGAGTACATCTGTCTGTGGGCATCCCCGTGGCCTTAACCCCCCTCCCTGCACAGCGTTTCCCTGAGACGTATTTGCTGAGCCCTGGCCGGTGTGGCTCAGTGGGTAGAGCGCGGGACTGTGGACCAAAGGGTCCCGGGTTTGATTCCCGGTCAAGGGCGCATGCCCAGGTTGTGGGCTGGATCCCCTGGAGGCAGCCGACCCGCGATTCTCTCTCCTCATGAATGTTTCTCTCTCTCCCTCTCCCTCTCCCTCTCCCTTCCTCTCTGACATCCATAAAAATAGATTTTTAAAAATTTATTTTATTTTTTTAATTAATTTATTTGATTGATTATGGTCTCACGTAATTGTCCTTATTCCCATCCCAACCCCCCTCCCTACATATTCCCTCACCCCCCAGTTGTCTGTGGCCACTGGCCAGGCCCAGAGGCACGCACACAACTCCGCTGCGTTTCCATCACAAAGACAGTTTATGACTGTTCAGTAAACCATTCGGCCCGCGATTTAGGCTGGATTTTAGATTTTGGCCCCTTCTCTGATTGAGTTCGACACCCCTAGTCTATGTTGTCCATTATTTCCTCTAGATGCGTGAGATCGTGTGACCCAAGAAATAGCCTTGTAAGGAACCTAACCTGAGACAAGCCATCATAAAATTAGATTTAAACAAACGTAAAAATAAAAATGTGCAGACGCGCTGAAACCGGTTTGGCTCAGTGGATAGAGCGTCGGCTTGGGGACTGAAAGGTCCCGGGTTCGATTCCGGTCAAGGGCATGGACTTGGTTGCGGGCACATCCCCAGTAGGGGGTGTGCAAGAGGCAGCTGATCGATGACTCTCTCATCGATGTTTCTAACACTCTATCCCTCTCCCTTTCTCTCTGTACAAAGTCAATAAAATATATATTTTTTAAAAAAAGTGCAGACGGGCCTATTCAGGGTCCCTGTCCCTAGGGAAAACAAACAAACAAACAAAAAGGCTTGGCCACCAGGAAGCACTGAAGCTGTCACGCCTATGGCCTCTGCGGGGGCTGAGGTCCCGTGTCACGGGGGTCCCAGCTGTTCCGGGCAGACACGGATGTCTCGTATGCAAATGCGTTGGGTCAGAAGCTACACAGGTGGTTCTCAGAGCCACCTGTTCCGGGAAAGGCTGTCAGAGGTGTGTTTTGTACAGGGTCCGGGGGGCGCTGGGATTTGCCGTCGGTGACGCAGGAATTCAAAAGAGGGGGTAGGGCCCGGCCGGCCTGGCTCAGGGGTTGGGCATCCACCTAGGAAGCAGGAGGTCAGGGTTCGATTCCCGGTCAGGGCACCTGCCCGGGCGGAAGGCTTAGTGTGCAGGGTGGGGCCTCATGCAGGAGGCAGCCAATCCGTGATTCTCCTCGTGGCTGTTTCTCTCCCTCTTCTCTCGTCTCTGAAATATATATGTGTATACACACACACACACACACACACACGTATATATGTGTATAAAATAAGGGTTTGGCATTAGGCTTTTTATTCTTTTTTATTTATTTTTTAAAATATATTTTATTGATCCTTTACAGAGAGGAAGAGAGAGGGATAGAGAGTTAGAAACATCGATGAGAGAGAAACATCCATCAGCTGCCTCTTGCACACCCCCCACTAGGGATATGCCCGCAACCAAGGTCCATGCCCTTGACCGGAATCGAACCCGGGACCTTTCGGTCCGCAGGCTGACGCTCTATCCACTGAGCCACACCGGTTCTGGCAGCATTAGGCTTTTTAAATTGAGACAGTGAAGTTCTTCCTTGAATAGGGTTTATACTAAGACTAGTGCGCTGAGACAGGTGTGGCTCAGTGGATAGAGCGTTGGCCTGCGACTGAAAGGTCCTGGGTTCGATTCCGGTCAAGGGCATGTACCTTGGTTGCGGACACATCCCCGGTAGGGGGTGTGCAAGAGGCAGCTGGACGATGTTTCTCTCTCATCGATGTTTCTAGCTCTCTATCCCTCCCTCTTCCTCTCTATTAAAAGAAAAGAAAAGGAAAGAAAAGAAGAGAAAAGACTAGTGGCCTGGTGCATGGGGGGTGCATAGGGGGTCCATGGGGGTGGGTCCCTCAGCCCAGCCTGCACCCTCTCCAATCTGGGACGCCTCAGGGGATGTCCGACCGATGGTTTGCCCTGAGGGATCGGGCCTAAAGCAGCAGTCCGATAACCCTCTCGCAATCCAGGACGGCTGGCTCCTAACTGCTCACCTTCCTGCCTGCCTGCCTGCCTGATCGCCCCTAACTGCCCTCCCCTGCCAGCCTGATCGCCCCCAACTGCCCTCCCCTGCCAGCCTGATTGCCCCTAACTGCCCTCCCCTGCTGGCCTGACTACCCCCTAACTGCCCTCCCCTGCTGGCCTGGTCATCCCTAACTGCCCTCCCCTGCTGGCCTGATCGCCCCTAACTGCCCTCCCCTGCCTGCCTGATGGCCCCTAACCGCCTCTGCCGTGGCCCCTCCCACCGTGGCTTTACCTGGACGGGCGTCCGGCAGATGTCCGGTCTTTTTAGCATAGTGCCCCTTTAGTCAGCACTCATTACTGGGAGCCAGTCCCTGCCTGCCCTTTGCCCCGGAGGCAGGTGTGTCTGCCTTACGACATCTGTGAGGCACAGCCACTTCCTGGAGGCTGGGGTCGGGCCGGGGTGAGCGCAGGGCGTGGCTCTGGAGCTGGGTTTCGCCCTGGGTTATCTGATGACGTGTCTGCCCTCTGCCCTCGCTGTGTTTGACCTGAAGCCGGAAGCGCCACCCTCGGCTGCTCGGCCCGCCCGGCCCACGGCAGGGTCTTAGGGCTGGAAGGAACGTACGCGACCTCTCGTCCTGGGCTTTTCACACTTTTATTTACAATTATTATTATTATTATTATTATTATTATTATGACTAGAGGCCCGGTGCATGAAATTCATGCATGGGGGCAGGGGTGACTCTCAGCCCAGCCGGCACCCTCTCGCATCTGGGACATCCCTCTCACAGCCCAGGACTGCTGGCTCCCAAACGCTCGCCTGCCTGCCTGCCTGCCTGATGGCCTCTAACCGCTTCTGCCTGCCAGCCTGATCACCCCCTAACCACTCCCCTGCCAGCCTGATCAATGCCTAACTGCTCCCCTGCCAGCCAGTTTCCCCCTAACTGTCCTTCCCTGCAGGCCTGGTCCCCCCCCAAATGTCCTCCCCTGCTGGCCTGGTCACCCCAATCGCCCTCCCCTGCAGGCCTGGTCCCCCCCTCCCCCAACTGCCCTCCCCTGCCGGCCTGTCCCTGCTGGCTCGGCCACATGCGGCTCTTTGGCCCCTTGAGTGTGGCCCTTCCGCAAAATACCACGGCCAGTATGTGACTCGTCCCGACCAATCCGCACATCACCCTATTCTGGGATAGATTATCAG